GCATGAGACCTCTACCTTACCGATGGAAATCTTTCGAAAACAAAGGAGGATTCAACATGCCGGACTATTGAAAAGCCTACCTGTTCAAGATAAAATGCCGTCGGCATGCAGGAAGATAAAGCAACCCCGAGCTGGAAGGCAAAAAGCACGAGTTCTCACGAGGACCTTGGATATTGCGGAGTGAGTTCAAACATGTGAGAATATAGGGACGAAAGTAGGATAGAAAGCGGCTGGGAAGGTCGCAGATTTTAGAGAATGGAAACGATCCTGGACGAGACTAACAGCCAGGCAACATACTAACCACCACGCCACAGCAGATCCAAAATCTGGAACGCAGCAAATCTTTATACAGGTGAAAAGACGGGAAGAACGACAATGACACCTGGAGGAACACCTATCAGTATCCATAAAAGCCTTAACAGGGCCCAAAGTGGCATAGCCTTGCATTTAAGGAGTGAGCACATTGGGTTCAATTCTTACCTGCACAAAAGACATGTTCCCGGAGTAGACAGCCCACGATGACAATGTGGATATCCTGTGACGGTCTTAAAGTGGCGTTTTATTCAAACTGAACTCAGAGCTAGATACAAATGAAAATCTTAAAGTAACGAGCAGAGACATGACTGAAAGCCTCCTATTTATTTACAAGACTATGATCTCGTTCCCTCATTTCATACCATTCTCAAAATAGATCATGACCTGTCCTCCGACAAACACCAGCATCTCCATCTATTTTAGTTCAGCTCCATATTAATGTTAGTTATTTTAGTTATTAAAATAGTTATGATGCATGTGGCTTAGATGACTCACGACTGGTGTTCGAGTTGTCCTGTCTGCAATCTAAATTTGTCATTTAAGAATAGATTTGCATGAACTGGGCCAAGGCCTATACTTGGGTCTAATGAGTCGTGGAGGGGTTCATGACATGTATGATGTTTAACATGGTTGGAAGAGTTCAAGCCTTATTTGTTAGGCAGCAGCCTAATGATAACCAGGTATGAGCCTGTGACATATCCGTCCCAGAATGTCAAGCATATGATCATGGCCTGTCCCGACTGGGCTATAGGGAGAGGGGAGATACTGAGAAAGTCAGAGAATCGGTCATTCGAAGCGATGATGAATAACCCGAAAGATATGGCTAGGATAAAAAAGTGGATACAAAAGGAAGGAAGGCTAGAGCAGTTTCGACTGACGCTTGAAGTCGAAGCCATGATTAGTGACAGAGAGGGCAGTAGGGGAAAGGTGATCTCCTGCCATAAGTAAGGGAGTGGACGGTATGCGCACTGGATATAACAGCATTAGTGCACTTCCTAAAGTTAACACAACGATAATGTGTATATAAATTGAAAAGCTGAGGGAGTTTTTACCATAAAAGTTTCCTCCTATGTAAATATTAGAGTTCGTAGACACCTGCATGGGCTCATAGGGCGCCAAATCGGGCTAAATGAAATCAAATTCAAATAAATAAATAAAATGAGGAGGTGCCTTCACTTTTCAATTTCTCATAACGTTAGTCTGATCGAAGGGGGAGTTAACGAATTCGGGGGAAAGTTTATAAATTTGTGGTTGAAAGGAACGTCCTTAGCATTAAGCCGGGTCGGTTCAGAGTGGCAGGACATCGGGTTTTGTTTTGTTGAAAGCTTTTTGCCTTCATAACATGACTTACCGTGTATATGGTTCTGTATATTGATACCGTATAGGACGTTAAACGAGACTAATTCAATTCAAATGAGTAAATAAATAATTCATTTTCCTGATTTGGCGCCTTGAGGCCCATGCAGGTTTTATCCGAAGATATGTACTTCAAGTAGAATAACTCAATTTGATATTTAGAACACTCACACTCAGATTTCATTTGCAGATACCACTCGAGGTTAATCCTTACGGCGTATAACCTCTTACGTGCATACCCACCACAGGAAAAGCGTGAAAACCCTGTGGCTATCCGAGTTTACTTTCATCATCCCGTTGTTACGGGCTAGGCCCGGCTGGGTTCTGGCTGGGCTGTGTATGACTACAGAGCGCATCCTTGTTTCGTAGGCGTAAGCCAGTAGGTAAATCTTCGTAGGGTACTAAAGTACTAGCAGAGCACATGTAAAGCTAAGGGATCTGGAATAGCTTCAGTAGTCACAAAGCGCTGTTGCTGCCCACTCCTGAACTGCATAGAAAATATAAACATTTTATCGTGGCATTGCTTCCGTGCACTGACCAAAAGTCTTAGCCCGTCACATATTTGTCTTCAAGAAATCTAGCGTCATTATACTACCAAAATCTGGAAGTCGTAATTTCTCCCTCCCCAAGTCCTACAGGCTTATAGCTCTTCATTCCTGCCTAGGAAAAGGACTCGAGCGACTAATAGCCCGAAGGCTCTCGTAAATCGCCCTCAAATATCGTATCTTAGCTAAGGACCAATGCAGCGCAGTCCCTCGCTGCTCCTCTATAGATCTTACTACAGCCCTTGCATGCGATATAAAAATGCCCTGGGATAAAAAGAAAGTAGCAGGAATTGTAACGGTAGACGTACAAGGTGCCTTTGATGGCATCCAAAAAGGGCGTCTCTCACTTTGTCTTTGAAATCAGGGCTGGACACCCAACAGCGTACTCTGGGTAATTTCCTTTATGAAACAACAAGAGGCTTCAATATATCTAGATTGGCACTTATCTTCCTCTTTCCAGACCCTCTCTGGTCTATCCCAGGGCTCTCCTGTTTCTCCTATCCTCTTCCTTCTGGCAATTCAAGGAGTACTTCGACTGTCCCGTGGCCGCTTTGGTTATGCTGACGACATCTCGCATTTCTCTTCCGCACACTCCCTGACCTCGTGTGCTAGCCTCCTCCAGACCCAACTTAACAATACCCTGTCATGGGGGTGGGAAAATTGCATCTCATTCGAAATCTCTAAGACTGAGCTACAGTGCTTTCATCGAAAATGCGGTGGAGTAGTAGAGCCAACAATCCACGCGGGAGAAATCGAGATAGCGCCTAACAACCATACCCGTTGGCTTGGAGTATACTTCGATCGTGGCTTACGCTTCCGATACCATGTGAGTGAAGCCTGTAGGAAGTCCTTAGTCATTACAAGCCTCCTTAAAAGACTCTCATGCACTACCCGTGGCATCAGCCCCCTCCTTCTTCGGCAAACTATTCAAAGAACAGCTTTCGCCATCCTCTCTTTCGGAGCCGAGACACGGTATTCCAAAAACACGCCACTGGATCTAATAAATCGTGTTCAGCGTAGGATTAACGACGCCGCTAGAGCCGTTCTACCTGTCTACCGCACTACCCCAACTCCTGCCCTTCTTCGAGAGACCGGATGGGGGGCGGCTAGTACTTGGCTAGAACGAATACATGACCGCTTTACGGTACGAGTAGCACCAGCAGACCCAAAGCATCCTACACGGCGACGCTGGACTTCCTCCTGCATATTGTGGATACAACAAAGAGTGTCTCCTGAACTCTCTGCTGATACAATACCACCCCCTTGGAATGCCAGTCGCAAAACACTCCTACAAAATATCGGGGCTATAGGCAGAAGAAATGGCCTCGAAGAATTCAATAGATGGCAAGCATCTCAATCCCCTCTGGATCTGTTCGTCTTCTCCGATGGCGCCCTTATTGACGGCAGAGCCGGATCCGGATATGTCATCTATTGAGGCCTCACACAGAGAGTTGGGCAGGGGACTCTTCCTCTCGGAGAATCCGCCAAAGTGTATGATGCAGAAATAGCCGAGGCCACTGAAGGCCTAAGTGCCGCTCTCCATAATACGATAGCTCGATACGCCACAAATATTACGGTTTGCCTAGATAATCAGGAAGCCGCCCTTCACTTCCTCATAGATACTCCTACCCCAAGCAGTTCCTCTCGTATCGCTCGGTTCCGACAACTCGCTACCAGGTGGATAGAAAGAGAACGTAGCTACTATTCCAAACCAGGTATAGTCAGAGTACGATGGTGTCTAGGACATGTCGGCATACCTGGTAATGAAGCGCCTGACGCACTTGCTAAACAAACATGCGCAGGCCCTATGCTCCCCCTATCTCCAACAATCTCTCGAGCAAAGAGAGACATAATCACTCGATATAAAGCCTCTATATCCATGTACTGGTCCCAAAACTCTGCTAAACGATACCAACAACTGGAAATTAACGCCAATTCTGAGAGATCCCCAGAGCTCAAGAGCCTCGATCGCTACGCTCTTGGTCGCCTTCTTGCAGCCCAATCAGGTCACGGCGACTTTGCAGACTACCACCGCCGCTTTCAGCACTCGGACGCTCTTCTCACCTACGCTTGCGGGCTAGAAAAGTCTCCCGAGCACTTCTTCTTTTGTCGACTCAATCAGAGCCGGTCCTGCCTCAGTGGCAAAACTAGATATTCAACGCTGAGAATTCCCTGGATTTTTGGCTCTCCTGAAGGTTCCATAGCGTTAAATAAATGGCTTCATGAATCATGCTTTTTTGAAGCATGCAATAACAACACTAACTGTTACGGGCTGTGCCCGGATTGGGACTGGTCACTAGGACCAACCCGGCTAGATCTTTAAGCGCCAACGAAGCAGCGCTTACAGAGACGCGAAAGGTTGCATAAGGATTAATTTAAGGTTGCGCACAAGAACGAGTCTCAGTGTTGCATAAGGATAATTGCAAGGTTGCGCATGAGGAAGGACCCAAGGGAGTACGTACTAAGGGGGGGAGGATGTCACAGGAAAGAGGGTAGCCAGAGAGAATGGAGTATTCTCAGGTAGGCTAGGAGGGGAGCTTAAACACGACGCTGAGGAGGACATAAAGGACAGGAGCCGTCGTAGGCAGATTAGCTTCCTAAGGAAAAATTATCAATTCCTATTGAGTTAACGTCTTTCAAATACTTCTGAATTCTTTAAACCTTTCACAATGCAACCCACGCTGAGTTTTGGATTTTCGACGCTCTGGTGCATAAAGCTCGGGTGAAATCAGTCTTAACAAAAGTGAGGAGAAACTGGTTCGAGCTATCTCATCCTACGTCTTCATGAGTGACGAGGAGCTCGGTCTTGACACGACTATTCGTTGCATCAATGTTAAATCTTACATCTACATTAGAGACAACAAAGATGCATCAGAAAGGGAAATCGAGATAGACCCTGAGCCAGTTTTCAGGCCGGAGACAATAGTAACACGGGCAAATGTTTGCCATCGGACCATGGACTACATGTACATGATCAAGTTTTTGTGGGGTCAGGAACTAAACGATCGGAGCTTGATTATTTGGAGCTAGCTAAACCGGTGAATGTTGTGGTTGACTTGAAATGGAATAAGGATATACATGAGGTTGAAACCCATCGAGCTGGGCTAGATTTCTCACAGGCATGCAAGGTTTACTTTCTATACAACGAATAGTATCTTTCCCGTATCCGTGAGAGTAAAATACCCACATCTCAAACCTATTTCTGGAAACTTAAGCAGATATTGGCACTACATTCGCCAAATGGACGCCCTCTCAAATCATATAGAACGCTCCGAGAGTTCCTAAGCTGTATACTTGATGCCATAATTGGTCATCGAGATCTTTACGCTGATGCTAATATTCCTCATGACGACGTTTCTGAGGGGAATGTTATTTTGACCAAGCTTGATGCAGACGGAAAGCCGCGCGGAATTTTTATTGACTTTTAAATGTCTTCTTCGGTCGATGGGCAGGTGAATGAGGAGGAGAAAACAAAAATAAGTGGGACCGTCCAGTACATGGCCATTGAACTACTGAATGAAGAAATCGTGTCGTTATGATCTCAAGTCGTATTTCTATGTTTTTCTTGTGAGGTTCCTGCAGTAAATTGCTCGAGTGTAAACCCTGAGTATTTGAATAGCTGGTATTAGAATAATACTCCAAGGAACTATAATTATAAAAAAGAAGACATTGAAAATTTCGAGACAAGTATTTTGGATCACTTTATGTCGAGCTTTGGCACCCCTACGCTTGAACACACCGAGGCATGACATGGATGCATTTTCCTGAAGAACTTAGAACTACCACTGAAGCAAGGAGGACTTTTCTCAACACCTGTCAGTGGTATCCCCTATGAACCTCCAGCTCTCACTGTAGAGTCTGCAGAGCCGAGATTGAGTATTAAAGTCCTCACTTCGACGAGGATTCCCAATCGCTTTCGCGGTCTTTATCGTCTTTATCTCGCAACACATTCCCCTATCACCATTATCGTGAAGCTAACCACAATGAAATCAGATGATAGGGTCGAGCCCTACTCATCACCTACCCTTGATCATGGAGGATGCCATCCGATGAGTTTCCGGAGCGTACCCAGCACCCAATACGAAGATGGCGGATTGGATCAAGTCAGCCTCGACTGTTACAAAGAAGGGAGAAAGAAATGAAATGCGCACCTCATGTGGTCCCGGTGTCTAGGTCTCGCCTGGCTGGGGCTGCAGGATTTTTGAGACCTTTTCCCGCGCACGCAGTTTCCATTGCTATCATTTTTATTTTTGGGTAGAAGGTTCCGTGGAAAAGGTGGCCGAATTCTACGGGTAAATACTGAGCTGAATGGCTATCCATCACGGGAAGTATATCAATAATCTTTCAAGTAACAAAAGAGGCAAGGAGAACTGTATAAGGTGTGCCCTGGGTCAGAGAAGAGCCGAATGTGCTAGATAGACGTAGACTCAAGTATTACAATAAACATACCTCTGTCTCTACTGAAGCTAGTTTTATATAGCCAGAAATTTATATGAATGAGAACCAAAAATATTAAGGAAAAATTGTACATATAGAGGAAATCAAATCCCTACCAGCACAGGAATACCTCAAGAGTCATCTTTATCGCCAATTCTTTTCCTATTTTTCGTTAGCACGCTCCTACCGATACTTCAAACTCTTTCTTCTTCTGCTGTTGGATTTGTAGACGATAATAACATACTAACATGATCAAGTACCACCGAAGAAGATTGCAAGAAGTTAGAGGTACAGCATGAGATATGCGAGGCATGGGCAGAAAAGAACGTCATTAGGTATGCGCCGGAAAAGTACCAGCTCATGCACTTCACGCGAGCAAGGAAGCGGCACGATCTAGAAGCAACTGTTAGCATACAAGGATATCTGACATCTCCACAGTCTTCCCTCCGAGTTCTCGGAATCTATTTCGACCCTAAGCTCCAATGGTACTCCCACATAAAGCATATCGAACAAAAGTCACACACACAAGAACAGTCAATAAGTAGATTGACTCAGTCAACTTGGGGAGCGGCATTCAAGAAGTCAAAGCTTTTGTATAGCACAATAGTTAGACCAGCCCTCACCTACGGATCCCCGATATGGGTTGCAGCTAGGCCAGCGGGTAAAATACCAGAAAGATAGTAAAACAATTGTAAAGTGTCCAACAAAAATGCTTGAAGCTTGTTACAGGGGCTTCTAACTCCACCAACAGTAGAGTACTAGATCACGAATGCTCAATCCTTCCACCAGACATCTACCTCAAACAAAGGAGGTTCTAACACATCGGACTTTTAGAAGGACAACCTATCACGCAGATGATTCTATCCGCATGTTGTGAAATATCGCAGGCTTATAGCCTGAGCGAAAATAGCCGGGCCAAGAATCGAAGCCGAGATACTAACGAGCAGACCAAAATCTGCAGTAACCAAAAGATGAGACCTAGACAAAAAGAAGTGGTTAAGATAGCAGCATTTCAGGAGTGGGAAAGCGTATGGAAACGTTTAAGGAAGAGCAACTATCTCCTCTTCACGCGTCGGCAGACCCAGAACATTGGAAGGCAGTAAGTATGATCAGCGACAAGATTATTATTATCCATTTATATTAATTGGGAGGACTTCTATCGCAGTATGACTGTATAGAAGACGATGGAATTAGCACAGTGGATTGAGGTCAGATAGAATCAGATATTCGAGTTAACTAAAAGTATACTAAGATCGAGACAGCCAGACTCCTAAGTACAAATTTTCCTCCACGCGACTGATCTGCATGAATAGCGTGTGACGAAACCAAGCTGGTTGTAGTGTACTTTTAGAAAGATTAAACTATATGAAGAGAGAAGTATCACAACTACGGGCAATGACTATTTGTACATCCTTCTAGCTCATCCAATACGTACTCTGTTGGTGAGAATGACATATTGCTTCGCCACTGCCCGTCGTCATCTTTGCCATCTAGCTGACTCTCTCACTTGGCAATTCTACTTCGCCGTCTCACATTCCTTCCTAGCTTTAATGTAATGTGGCCAAGTGAAACTAAGTCGCTTGATACAAGATAATGTGTAACACTCTCCCGAATACGCCCCCAAACTCCGCTTAGGTCTCCGCCTAAGCTAAACCACGGTCAAACCGTAACATAGTGTAATTGACGCGACCCATGTGTTTGACTCTGCCTGACTCGGATTGCCCCTGTAGCAGCTAGACACACCTTGTCATTTAACACTCCCCCTCAAAGGTTGTCCTGACTCTAGTCTCCTATCAATTGTTGTTTAGTAGATACTATCACGGGGACTTGTGTACAGTTAATACCAAGCTGTTCAATGAATTTCTGGAACTTCACTCTTGCCAACGGTTTGGTCATGCTGTCTGCTACCATATCATCAGTAGGAATGTAATCAACTGCCAACCTCCCCTTTCCGGCGAGATCACGAATAAAGTGATAGCAAATATCGATATATTTTGACCTTTCGTTCAGATATGCGTTTTCAGTTAGCGCAATTGATCCTTGGTTGTCTCCGAGCATTTGGACTAGTGCAGGGTTTTTCCCGATATACTTTGGTAATCCGAGGTCTCGAAATATTTGAGCAATCCATTGTCCATGTTTTGCACACATTGATAAAGCAATATACTCAGCTTCACAACTTGATGTTGATACCGAGCGCTGCTTTTTACTCGACCAAGAGATTGGACCACCATAGAACATGGTGACGCTTCCTGAGGTACTTTTACGGTCATTTTTATCACTTGCCCAGTCGGCATCCGAATAGACCTTAAAGCTACTGTATTCTCCTCCGAGACTGTAACGGATCCGAAATTTTATTGTCGACTTCAAGTATCGGAAAACTGTTTTGAGTGCATATCCATGATGTTCTGCGGGATCACTCATGAATTGACTGAGTTTTCTAACTGCAAAAGCAATATCCGGCCTCATGACGGTTATGGCATATATAAGGCTTCCAATTGCTTGCTGGTATTCTGTAACGTCGATTCTTTTGTCATCACTTGTGGCGGGCCGTAAGTGTTCATATCCAGTGAGTGGCACTGTTTTTGGCTTGTGAGCACCTTTTCTGAATCCAAACTTTTCCAACACGTTTTGAATGTATTGTTCTTGGTCAAGATATAGGGTCCGATTCTTTCTATCTCGCATGACCCTAGCTCCAAGTATCTTTTCTATCTCCCCCAGATTCTTGGCGCTGAATCTTGTCGATAACTTTTTATAGAACCAATCTAAATGTTTTTGAGACTTAGCCGATGCCACAATGTCATCAACATAAACCAATAGACTTGTACCATTGTCGTGAGTAAACATGCACGGATCGGCAAGGCTTTGTGTAAATCCCCATGTCAGTAACGAATCTTTGATCAGACAGTTCCAGTCTCTTGCAGCTTGTTTTAGCCCATATAAACTTCGAAGTGCTTTCCAGACGTAGCCTCTTTTAATTGAAATTCCTTTAGTTGGCTGAAGAAAAATGTCCTCTTTAAGATGAGATTCTGTAAACGCATTCTTAATATCATAATGGAAACATTCTAAGTCTTCAGTAGCAGCGACGGCAAGAAATAATCGAAGTGTGTCCATTCTTACTGTTGGAGCAAATGTTTGATTATAGTCAAGACCATGAATCTGACTGAGTCTACGCGCTACAAGTCGGGCTTTAAAACGTTCAATTGAGCCGTCGGTATGAGTCTTGATTGTGTATACCCATTTGCAGGATACAAGATTTACGTCTTTTGGTGGTATGACTTCCACAAATGTATTATTTTTTCGGAGTGACACCATTTCTTCATTCATTGCCTTTTTCCATTCTTCTGAATAGGATGGGTCTTTCGTTGCTTCTGCAAAGCTAGAGGGAATTTTTATACCCGCAATTACCTCGGCTGGAAGTGCAGATTCTACATCTTTATCATGTAGCTGATGCAATAGTGAACTGTTCGTTAGATCATTTCTTCGACTTTGAATCAATTGTGCAATGAATACCTTGACACGTTTGGAATCTCGAAGCGACTCAGTTTCTTGCTGAGAGGTACGTTTCTGAGCGGTAGAGCGTGTAAAGTATTTGTGCCTTTGCAGTGGGAATAAATATTTTGAGGTCGAAAAATTGCGCTCAAGATTAGTGTAAGCTAATGAGGTATTTACGTTTGAATTCTTTGTCTGAGAATTCAATGACAATGTTTCTGTTGAATGATTAGCATCAACTGGATATTCTTCCTCTAATTCATCTGAATCATTGTCCATAGCAAGTTTCTCAACATCAATTTTTTCTGCTTCGCCATCACTCATGTTTTCTTCGTCGTCTTGTGAAATTATCTCCTCGTAAGGTTGACGATTTGTATCTTGGTGTTCACAATTTCCATTTATCTCATATCTCTCATATACTTCTCCTGAATCAGAGTCCGTATCGATGTCTGTTTCTGAAGCCAAGTTATCACTTTCAGGTTCTTTTTCCAGATCCATATCA